ATGTAATATTACCCATTTATTTCAGCAGACATGAATAAAACGGTGCACATAAAAAGTTATGTGCACTGTTGTGTATTTTAAAATCAAAAATGAAAAATATTAATACAAGACAACAAGTTAAGGTTAGCAAAAAACAAACATAAACAACATTTATCTGTGTATCGTGTTTTATTTTTTTATGGATTAAAATGTGTTCTTCATTCAGTTAAGTTACTTGAATTAGGTTGCATATCAACAAAATTTACTCAAGAGTATAACATATGTAAAAATAGCCCTATTTTTTCTTCTGTCACAAGTTACAGAGTAATTGAGTAAATCTAATTAGTTAATACCTGCCCTTGGCTGTTTGAGCAATATCACTTTTACAATTTCAATTAATTTTTTACAGAATATATATTTGGTATCTGGAAGCCATTGTGACTTGGAAAATTAATTGTTAATTCCTACAAAACAGTAACAGTAATGTGAAAGAATTTACAGTGATTAATTCAAACAGGCTTTTTTTCCTACCAATCAATTGTATATTTCCTAAATAAATTAAATTAAATATTTACTGATGTGTAATAACCATTTTTATGTTAGTAGCTATTACGTTGTGTCCTTGCTCTATTTTAAGTGTGAACGAACGAACCACGTCTTATTTAAACATATCTGCAATGTATATAGATGTTATTTTTTAATTTTGTTCATTTCTTTTTGTTACTGCAGAATTCCATATATTCAGATGTGGCCTACGCTGTAGAGACACATCTCACTTTCATTGCCCATACTGTTTTACAACCATTGACAGAAGGGACAGGTTTGTTAATCATTTGGTTAACCACACAATGACTTTCCATAAGGTGTCTAGCTGTGCATCAGCCCAGGCACCTGTCCACCCAGCAGCTACCAACATCCAGGCAACACAGGCACCTGTCCACCCAGCAGCTACCAACATCCAGGCAACACAGGCACCTGTCCACCCAGCAGCTACCAACATCCAGGCAACACAGGCACCTGTCCACCCAGCAGATACCAACATCAAGGCAGCCCAGGCACCTGTCCACCCAGCAGCTACCAACATTAAGGCAGCCCAGACACCTGTCCACCCAGCAGCTACCAACATCCAGGCAACACGGGCACCTGTCCACCCAGCAGATACCAACATCCAGGCAACACAGGCACCTGTCCACCCAGCAGCTACCAACATCCAGGCAGCCCAGACACCTGTCCACCCAGCAGCTACCAACATTAAGGCAGCCCAGACACCTGTCCACCCAGCAGCTACCAACATCCAGGCAACACGGGCAC